AAAAAGCCGAACTATAATCGGTTGTATCCCCTGCAATCTGTGGACTGGCAGCAGAACCACAGGAAGCAACCACTCTCTCGGCTGACTTGGAAGAAACTGCCCTTAATCATGAATTCAAACACAAAATAATGCAATAGAAGAGTGCACCCAATCAACAGGATCAAGTCGGAGCCAAACACGTGTGAAATGGTGCCTACACTGGCGATAGCCGAGCGTATGGAGGCCGCGAGCAAATGAAGTTTCGTCCATGTCTGTCTGTACGTGTGTATGCTTGCAAGTATGCATGTGCAGAAAAAGGGACGCGCGGACGTCCGTCTAGTCGGTGTGCCTACGCCCGCGGTACTCATCTCGCACTTCCCCATTCCGGCACCGGTCTCAACTTCCTACAAAGGGGATAGTCACCCAGGTACCGCCAATATAATGCTACAAATTCGTAAGGTTGTTAAAAACCCAACGCTGGACGTTAAGTTGACACAGCCGACTGCAGAGAATTAATCTGGTACAGGAATCGGCGATAAAGTCAAGGCCAATTTGGATGTTCTTACTGTTAATGGAAATTTTCTCCGTATGGATAAAGAAATGTTGGGTCCCAAGGTGCTAAGGTGCCAAATCACCAAGTTGTCGTCTGTGTGATCGTTTGCGTGTGTATTCACATGCAAATTTAGCCACTCATAAAATATATACGTATGAGTATGTGCATGTCTGTAGGCAGGCGTATGCGCGTCTACACGTGAACATTTCGCTGATCCCAGTCACGACACCACATCAAACGTACATTTGAGGGAGATAGAGAGATAGAGATAGAGATAGGGATAGAGATAGATAGAGAGAGAAAGAGGTTCTTGGAAAGCCAGTGAAACCGGCTCGGCCGGAAGTGATAAATGGCTCCGAGGACGTCAGCTTCCCAGGCCGGAGTACTGAGATGGGTATGCAGTGAGATGGGCTTAGACAGTGAGAGGGGGCCATAATGAATGAATGGAGAATCGTGACAATCCAGACGAGAGGACTGTTTACGTGCCTCTGGGGCCACAAAAGTAGACGTTTTGGCGTCTTGAGGTGAAAGCAGTTCGCCCAGCAAGTGGTCTTGCTACCTAATATGTGATCTTCTTGTATATAATTAAAGCATAATTAAATCGTACAAGGTCATTCAGAGTCCCCATGTGTGGTTTATAGTATAGGGCAGGTCTTAAACTGCCTAGAAGAGCCCCTTGCCCCGGCGATGATAGTCAGGCTAGGCAATTAAGCCGCCGGGAGAATACCAATTTCCAAAAGCGAGTGTGTTGATCAATGCAGGAGTGTGCACAATGAAATATTGCATAAATGCATCCTTAGGTCACCTGTATGAATCCAAAAGCGAGCAGGGTTAGAGCTTGAAAACGGGTGCTAACCGACACCTTGAAGACGATTAACGCTTAGCTGGTTCGGTATAGAAGCAGCAGAAATCAGAGGACAAAGGTTAACAATAATTAGACACATTTAATAAGAGTTCTATTCACCCTAGGCCGGATAAATTGATATATGACCTATAGTTTAACACTATTGATGATAGTAAATTGCTGTCCAAACTTCAAAGTATTACATTCTGCCAATATGGCTAGTTATACAGTTGAAAAGATTAGCCCGCATACTTATTGGAACTTGAACAAGATATTGAGGGCGAGTGCTTATTTAAATCAGTACAAAGAGAATATATAAGTAGTAATAAACAACAATAACTTTATATTTCGTTTTTAAGTAGACTTTCGAGGCTACCATTTGATCATTATATAAGATTTATTCACTATATCTCCTAAGGTAGGTAATGATGCTGGGAATCATGACAACTACTATGGCAGACGACTTCGGACTAGGTGCGTTCTACTAAGTCCCCCTGACAACAGGACCGAGTTGCGACAACGAGGCCAACCCATTTCTAAAGAATGTATAGTTGAATTTTCCAACAATCATATGGGTAGGCCTTATGCTTCGCATAGCCTTGCTTCCCAAAGGATATTCACATCCAGACACGAGTGGAATGCAGTCTCGCCTGAACTGGTCTCATCTGTAGCCCCTGCGGTAGTCGAACTTTCGAAGGGCAACGTATGATCTTGACATATTATAGCTACGCTACCCTGCCACGAATGCACCTGGGTCACAGAGGAGACGTGAAGTTAAATTTTCGTAGTGGTAATGTAGATAAGGCAAATTTGAGTTTTTCCATTACAATTACTAGGTTACTTATACTAGTTTTGAGTAGGCTTCGAAGCTATCAGTTAATCTTGAACAAGAGTTTCATACATCGAACGACACCAGATGCCTTTTCGACCGGGAGAAGAGCGAATATCTGGTATGAGCTCAAAAGAAGAATGTCTGGCCGTTGGGCTAAGGCCAGACCTGGGATTTACCACATTTCGAAAAGCTACATTACGTGTGCAAAAGCGACCGATCAATTTTCATGACGAATTCTAGGATCAA